TATTTTTTTATTTCATTTTATTTATTTTTTTTTATCTACTTATTGATTGCCTTTGTCTACACATGTACCTTTCATGCCTCTCTGGGGGCCCTTAATTGGCAAATAAAATATTGTCTATTGTCTAAATAGTAGGAAACTTTTCCATTTGACTATACAATATATAATTTTGTTTGATGGCTTATGTTATACCAATCTAATTAAAATTAGATCCTTTATGTTCCTTTATTTTGTTATGTCGCTGTAACAAAATAAAGGAGCGTAAAGGATCTAATTTTAATTAGATTGATGTTATACATTTAATGGTATAAGGTTATGAATCCCTACAGGTATCCTCACTCTCCTATTGCTAATGAACTGAAAATGTTCACAATATGACTGCATAAATTACATGTAAAAAAAGTGCATCAATGATAAGATAAATGCTTGACATTTTATTCATGAATTTGTGTCAACCTATCACCCTAGAAGTTAAGGAATGAAAATCATTCAAAGAGATGGACCACATTAAAGTATTTGTACACTTTTTATTAACAGTACATGAACAATCAGGCCGGGGTCTGGGAAGGGGCGAGGGGAATTTAGGATCGAGTTAATATCTCTTTGTGTCTTAATGGTTGAAAACTCCTAAAAAGAATGTTGACCTCAAATCTCACTTGTCCCCATTATTTTCAAGTGGTGGTGTCTCCATATGAGTGAAAAATTCCTGAGAGGGATGTTTAACAAAAAAAACAAATGACATAAAAACACAATATTGATTTGTGTTAAGAAATATGCAGGAGATTTTTTCCTTCATATTCTTCTCAAAACAGCAAGGGCATCATTGTCCCCCATTTTTAGGAAAGGGAGGGGACATTAAATCTCATTTGCCTGTCAGTCTGTCCATCTTATTGACAGTATGTGCATCTGTCACAATAAATTTAACCTAATTGGTCATAACTTTTGAATATTAAGACATACTAAGGGCTTTCATATTTCACACATACATTATCACAAAACTTTCTAAATATATTATGATTTTTGAACCCATGACCTTGACCTTAAAGTTTTACCTTTCGAGGAAAAAAAACATTATTTAAATTGATCATTTTGAAGAGAAAAGATGGTGTATTCAAATTATACATGTATATTACATGTGAAAAGATTTTTCTAAATATATATATTATGACTTTTGACTCTGTGACCTTGATTGAAAAAGAGATAGGACTTTCCTATTTGACATGTACATTAGCTGTAACAAGATGTTTTCAAGCATGCTATGATTTTTTCCCCTTTGACCTAGAAGTTTTACCTGAATGGCTGATTTTCAAAAATTGACATTTGATAGGGGTGCATATTTGAAACACAATTTGCCATAAATTAAGGCATCCCATTTACTTAGACACATAAAGACAGGGCTCAATTCTTTGAATTTGCTTGTATAATCTTGATATATGGAAACATCCTCATATAATGTAGATTCAAGTTTTTTATGTAACGCCATGATTATCCTGGAGATACATATACAGTGGACCCCCATTTATCCGTACGTTTTGGTTCCCAGTCAATTTGTCCGGATATGTGAAGTGTCCGGATACCTGAATCACCAGTTAAACGAGACAAAATAACAATTAAAAATTCCATTCAGATGAAAAATCGTCCGGATACTGAAGCATCCGGATATCTGGCGTCCGGATATCTGAAGGTCCACTGTACATGTATAATAGTTTTTATGATATCTGTCTTCCACCTTTCCATCTGTCTTTCCATTGGGCTCAAAGAAACTATTCTAGATATTTTTATCAAACTTCATATGGCGATAGATATTGAGGAGAACTTTGTAACTACATCAACATTTTTTTACCTTGACCTTTCCTTTGACCTTAACTTCGCTTTTATTTAATCAGTGTTTAGCTCAGTTTAAAAGATTCTATTCAAGATTGTCTAATCAAACTTTATATGTTGAAGTATACTGAGGTAAACTGTCCAACTGCAGCAACATTTTTTGACCTTGACTTTTCTTTTGACCTTCACTTCACTTTCCTTTAAATAAGTATTTAGCTTAATTAGAAAAAAACATTTTAGTTGTGTAATGAAACTTCACATGATGATACATACTGATGTAAGCTTTACAATGCTTCACTCTTTTTTACCTTGACCTTTCCTTTGACCTTGACCTCACTTTTCTAAAATTAATGTCTAGATCAGTTTTGAATTTTGAAACACAGTTAAAATAAGTGTCTATCTTTAGAAGTTTTAAATAAACAATTTATTATATTTTTATCAAACTTCATATCCTAATAGTAAATTCATACTGATTGATGTAAGCTTTTCAACTGCAACGACATTTTGACCTCAACCTTTCCTTTGACCTCTCTTTTTCCTTAAAAAAGGTGTTAAGCTTAGTTTCATTAATTCATTCAGATATTTTTATCAATGAAACTTAATATACTGATATGTATTAGTGATAGCTATTCAACTTTATCAAAACATTCACCTTGCTCATTCCTGTGACCCGATCTCCCTTCTTTTTAATTTGTATTTTGCTCATCTTCTCTCTCTCATCATAGATTTTTTTTATTAACCAATTTCACTTTAACTTGGTAGCAACTTTAAACTGCCAACCCGGTAATCACTACCATATTCTTGTCATTTTACGGCCGTATAGCAAAAAAATGAAAGTAAAGTTTCTGTTAAATTCATGATTGTTAAAGCGACAATACGGCTGCAATTCGTGTGCTTTTTCATGCATTCAAATTTACCCAATATATCATTAAGGAATAAGGTAAAAAGTTGAAGTAAGCATTTTGAGAAAAATAAATATAAATATATTAACGTTATTAGAATCTGTCGGAAAATCAAGGGTCGTACGACTTAAACCTGTTTACTCAAGTTGTACCACGTGAATTCTAAAATGGCACGTACAATTACAATGGAATGTTAAGTAAAAGCCTTTATCAGAATCAAAATATCATAACTCTAAGGTAAATTAAAAATAGTTAACATTTAGTATACATTCAGACAAATTTAACATGATTAAGTACTTATGTTGAACGTTTTGTGTATTGGGGTGCAGGAAAGGAAAATCCACCAAATCATACGTCATCGCGGCAAAATGTCAAACAAAATCTTTCTGTAGTTCCAATACAATTTGCACTCCAAATGGCAATGATTTTTTTGTCTTTGAAAGCCATAGAGATACGAGAAATAATAGCATGTATCAACAAACCTGTAGGGTATAACCTTCGCGAGCCCCACGTGAATGTCCCTGAGATCCCGTTTCTTCTTCGTCCAATGATTTATTAATCTCCCAACTAAATTTTTTTCAGGAAAGTTGCTTTTTAATTTCAAGCCCTATTTTTTTGGTCTTGTTTTTCGTTTTAGTCGACTTTGTCAAATTGTAGCAGGCCTACCGGACCTCCTTCTCTTACCATGCTGTTTTGTTTATGAAAACTATACCCATTCATGTATAGCATGGAATGTGGAATTCAAACACGTTGCAATGTATATATTTATGTACAATAAATAATTATTAATTTTAATGAAATAATCAGAATTATTTACAAATAACACTTTAATTGTAATTTTTTGAAAGTGTATACATTTATGAGTATGAAAAAAATTCCAAATCCTATAGGAGAATTTTAACAAGTCTGTTTTTTGAAGAGATGCGCCATATTGTCACTGTAATGAGATATCTTGTAATTTTTTTTATGAATTTCATTATTTTACCCGCAGAAATGTTGAGCATGTGTTTTTTTTTTTCAAAAAAAGTTTTCGTATATATATACAAGGAACATGGCAAAAACTTAGCGTTACTAGGAATTGACAAATAAGTGTTGAACATTAATTTCCATAACATCTTCAACATTTCTCTTACCGGAAGAGAATTTGGAAATTTTTTTTAAATGCATCACTTGTGTCTTCTTTTGGCAAACAAACACTGATTCTTAAGTTTACCTAGGGTTTCCTTTTTGAAAAAAAATATGTATGCTTTCTGTTGTTAAAGAAATTTATACTCATGGTATTTTAAAAATACACTTCTCTAGTAATTTACAGAAAAAAGTCTTGTTGCATTAACAACAATTTTTTAAGTATTCATACATTCATGTTTTTTAAGTATTGCATTGTTTTGTCTAAATTAAACATTTGTGCACTGAATATCTAATTGTTATAAAGTTGATACAATTTATAACATCCTTCAGAAAATTTGAAAATCATGGATGGTTTTCCATGGAACGACTATAGACGATGATCATTGGTATAACGATGACATACTAAGTATATATTTTAGAGAGAAAATTGGAAAATTCGCTACCTTAAAAATTTTCTAAATTGATCATAAAGAATCTACAGATTTATAAATATGTTTTGTCCAATAAATTCCAAAAACAACAAATAAGGATACATGTATGAACAAAAGTCATCACAAAGACGAGCAAATATGACAAGTGGATTGGTACTGAAAGTGATTGGAAAGAAATTGAAGTTTGAAAGTCATTATTTTTGTGTGATATAGAATAAGCAGATTTCATCTACTTTGTTTTTAAATGCACTTTAACAGCTTCATGATAGCTGAAATAAACTGGCATTTTCTCTACACTTACTTCCATTTGCTCTGTAATATAAACGTGATCTAGTATAGTATTACCCTCTGTTGTTGTGAAGCTGACTTTCTGCTTAAATCCATTTGTCTCTAACATTCTTTGAATTGGCCCCTTCAATTGCGCATCTTCATTAAAATCTCCAAGTACAAGGCAGTGGGAATACAGTACTTTAAAATAATCCACAACCATCTGAAGACCATCCAGAAAATATCTAACATTGAGAGTACTTGGTCGGTAAAGAATGATGACAACAGTTTTCTCCTCAGAAAGTTCTATTGCCATTCCTTCAATATTTTTTTGAGGTAAAATATAAAATACGGCCTTTTCCTTTGTCTTCTGTAAATACCAACACCTCCTCCTCTTGCTGTTCGAAGCTTGGCAAAACTGTCCATACTTTCATCATAAGACTGCTTTCTTTTATTCAAAGTCATGAATTTCTAAGTTTTTGGTACTCTCATTGTCTGTCAACCATGTTTCTGTTATACATATAAAGTCTGCATGGAGAAATCTCGTATCACTTTTCAGGTCTAGAAAATGTCCTCTTAGACTCTGTACATTGAGTAAAACAATTGTTTTGAATTTTCCATCTTTTGGGTGCAAGTTCAGAGAATCATGTTCAGGGATTAATTTTGCCATTTTTTCCAGTGCCGATTTTACATCCGGATTTGCGTAAATTTTTTTAGGCAATTCATTTTCATCTTTTGTTTCTATGTATAAACCTTTTTGTGAAGTGACACGGCTAATGGCAACATATGCTTGTCCAGGGGCGAAAGTACGATCTAAATTTACAACAACACTGTTTGCTGTCATGCCTTGAACTTTATGCGCTGTACATGCCCACGCAAGTTTCAGAGGAAACTGGTGTCGAACAACATTCTTTGTATTTTTTTCTTTGATATCTTCTTGTATTCTTTGAATCAGTACTTCATTTCCATGACATGTCTTCTTCCCTTGCAGTTTCCCAATCTCTTTGCTTTCAAAAACAATTCTGATTCCTTCTACCCTATTTCTTTTCTGATTTGTTCCCAATTCAAAAGCTGAAATATAACCAATTGCTCCATTAACAAGTCCATCTTCCACATTAATATTTCTTGTCAACATCACTCTAGCTTTCACAGAAAACAGCAAAGAAGAAGAGAGACCATCAGTTCTTGTTCTTATGAACGGTTTCTCGCGTAAAGTCAGCTTTCCTGTAGTTTTGTCTTTCTGATAATCTTCAGCTGTAATCTCTATGAATTCTTCACAGTTTGTTCGCAACATCTTCAGATTGTATTCATTTACTTCGTCATTTGTAGGATACACGTGCAGTACTTCATCTGGACCATCTCTAATGCATTCTTTTAACATTGTTTTCGCATCTTCTGATAGGGGTTCCTCTGATCTTTCAATCCGTAGTGAATTCAAAACCGTGGCAAATGCTGCGTCTTCACGTTGTCTCATAATTTCCTCCAACTCTATGATTTTGAAAAACTCTATCCAGTAATCTACGGGATATTCATCATTTTCTTTGTACAATATTTCCACTTTTCGTTGTTTCACAGGAGGTAGTTGGTAAAAATCACCAACAGCTATGACAGAAATACCACCGAAGGGTTCCTTACATTTCTTGATTTGCACCAGACGTTCATGTATGTAGTAGAGGAGTCGTTTATAAACCATTGACACTTCATCAATGATCAAAATCTGCAAAGAAGCTAACCTAACTCTCATTGCACTTAAACTTTGTTCTTTCAGAGGTTCGTATGGAATGGAAGAGCTTTAGTTAATGAAAATACGTGGTGAATTGTGCTTCCTCCAATATTGAAAGCTGCTGTTCCAGTAAAAGCTGTGAGGAGAACAGACAAATCTGATGGAGTCGAAACGGTTTTTTCAAATACTCTAGAAGCCTCATACTGTATAGTCTTGATCAGGTGGCTTTTTCCTGTCCCTGCACCTCCGGGAACAAAAATATGTAATGGCTCTATTTTCCTACCAGCCGCTTTTTTCAAACACCACTCACGAACTAAGTAAAAAATCTGCTTTTGTTTTTCATTTAAACTTCGCAACAAAGGAAGGACTTCTTGCCTCGAGTTAAAGCTTTCCCTGATATGATATATCAAGTCCAAAGCGCCGTCACATTCCACTTCATGTGTGATTTCTGGTTCTTTATTATCTAATTGTTCTCTTCTCTTTTTTTCTTGATAATACAATTTTCCATTTCTTTCAGTTTCAGGGCAAAGGTTAGCCCATGCATCTTCAGGTTCACCATAAACTTCTAAGTTTTGGGCATTTTGTAAGGCATCCTCATTTTTTGAGAAACAGCAAAAATTATTTTTTTCAACCACATTTCTGACAATATTCAATCTGTTCTCAGTATCGAAGTCTGACAAACCCGTTTTCATAAAATGTCTGAAAAAACGGAATCCTGGTGGTTTCAGTTGGTTTAGTGTGCTATATGGAAGGTAAAGCTGTATTGCCGATTGAAAATACTTCTCTGATGCATTCTCAGGATTAACTCTCGGATATCTGATTACGGCTGGTTTGGCTCTTGTTCTTTTCTGAATGTAACCATTTGCATTTTTCAATTCAAAAACACCTTCTTTTTCTACCTTGGGAATCTGCGATTTCGCAAGAACACGATAATGACAGAAATTCTGCAAGGCACATTTCAGGAAAGGGATGTAGATCAGGGCGATTTTCAATATCTCTCCACAAATATTTGTCATCCAAATACTGTCGTCATCATCTTCCATATTATTTTCGTCTATTTGTTCTTTTCATTTGTGAAAGGGGTTTACTTAATCCAGTTGGATTTTCACCAACAGGGACAAACACAACTTTCCTTGAACACTCTTTCATTTTTAGATTACAAACTCTGTACACTGCTTCTTGGGCACTCACTTCTCTATGATTTAGATAAGCTGATCCAATATTCCTTATCGTTTGACGAGCACTTAAATTTCCCTCTGCTGATTCTACTTGTGTTTGTTTCAGTAGCATTCCCATTTCGCCTTTGACTTTGAAATGTATGAAATAATGTACACAATGCAGCTAAATGGGTCAAGAATGTACTGTATGTCCATATTGGCATCCCAGCATTTGAGAAGGCATGCGTTGTATTGGTTTGTCCACATTTCTACTGGATTTCGTTTCAAGATAGTACTTGTATTCGCAGATAGCACCGATGTGCAAGTTCATAAACATCTTGTGTTAATTTCATGTCAGAAAATATTTCCTGTGTTGTTTTGCATCCATTCACATCATCAAGAACTTCATTCCAAACATGCAATAAAATATCTTTTGCCTGAGATTTACACATTCCACTTTTATTCTCAGAGTTCCTCAACATCTTCTTCACATTGCTTAGTAACAAATGTTCTTTCTGAGGGTGGTCTTGGAAAGTGGAATTGCACCTGTTCCCTTTTCTACACGATTTTGAGTGATTTTTGCTATGTTGTTGAACTCCTAAAACAATTCTTCGAAGTTCTGGATCTTCATTTTCAGATGGCACTACGCATGTTATATACCTGTCAATAAAATCACAAACAGTTTCCTCATTGTCTTCATCAAATTTCGGTGCATTTTCGACCCAATACAAGCAGTGCATATGTGGAGAACTCTCTCTCTCTCTCTCCTCTCTGTTGAAATTCTACTCTCACAAAAAAATCAATAACATTTCCTATTGGTTTTGCTGGTGAGAATACAACATTCGTTTGAAACATATGGAACCTATGTTCAAACATTCTGGCAACAGAAACTGGATTGCTTCTCAAAATTTCACTTTTTTCTGACCAGTCTAAATCCGATGGGGATCTACAATCATTTTCATGATGCAAACATCATTGAATCACTCGTTTCACTAACTCAGCAGCAGAAAAAGAACAAAACCATGTTGGGATACCTAACTGTCGAAGCATAGCAAAAGATCTTTCTGGAGTAGCCGACCAATATGCAGGTGTTCCTCGAATAGGTTGCATAAAACGTAAAGCTTCATCATTCTTGAAAAAATTTAGAAAAAACATCATTTGTAACATTTTAGATGAATGCTTTTCCATTATCAAGCTTTGAAAAAACTTTTGGGTTGAAATTTGTGTTTTTTCAATAATTTCATTTTGACATGATGAGAAAAAAAAATGTAATTTGTGTCTTTTGCAAATCTGTTATAGCATTCATAAGCCTGTTGTTAAAGTATCTTGTAGACTTATTTCACTCTCGATCCTCATTCCAAGAAAAAAAACCATTTGGAAAAAAATGTGGAAATGTTTTGCTTCGTTTCCTTCTTCTTTTTAAAATTGGATTGGGTTTTTCCCTTCACCTGGTGCAATATTGTAAAATCGCAAAATAATATCAAAACTTCCTGTGCAACATCGACAGGGTGTAAGCAGGGTCATAAAACCCTTCAATAATTCTTTTTTTCTTTGTTCCTCAAGTCTCTATTTTAGTCAACCTTCGGCAACAAATCATTTTGTCACTATTTCCTTCCCATGTGATTATCACTACATCCTTTCCATTTGTTCTCCTTCTTAAGATAATCAAGAGCTATCTTTATGTGATTTGGATTTACAAACTGGTATTCAAAATAGCCCTTGTAAGCTAGCTTTGTTTTAACTTAACTCTTAACAATAAATTGTCATCCCATTTCTTGGAAATTGATGTCTTTTTAATATTTGATGGCACACATCTACAGGACCATGTACATTTTTTTACCACCTTGTGGAAGCCCATCCTTTCATAAAGGGAATATGTAAAGCAATTAAATGCTGCTCCAAACTGTTTAAATTCTGAAGTTCACATGGAATATCCTCTAGTGACATTTTATTAGCAGCCGCCTCTGCTGGAATATTACCACTCAATATTTTCCTATGACAGGTAAAACATTCCACAAAGACGGTTTTGGGGACTTCCTTTGGGCAAGACGATGTACACTCATGATATTTTTTCTGTATGCAGGTCTGTGCAATTTCATTTGTTTTTTTTCTTCCTTTGTACATTTCAAGTGAACATCCTTGGACTTGATGATCAAACAGCAATCGATTAAACAGCAACATTTTATTTGGGCCATTTTTACACCCCTTAAAAATCTCACAACTTCATCTTCATCTTCAATTTTACATGTAGGGCCCCTCTCTGGTTAAAGACACTCTCCTTCTTTTTCTTTTTTATCTGCACTTGCATTATACTTTAGTTTATTAGCATTCTTAACCTTATGTTGATGCTCTTTGTCTTGCTTATACTTTTCTTTACTTCTTTGTTTTACATCTAATTTGTATTCATCATTCTTGTACTTTTCTACTTCTTTGCTTAGTGTTTCTTCAACTTTTCTGATCTATATTTTAATACCTTTTTCTTTTTTTTTTTATGAATTTTATGTTATGTTTTTTTTTATGGCTTCCTTAACTTTAACTTTTGTTCTGCACTCAAATTGTATTTTTTACTCCCTGCTTTGTCTTTGCTTGGTACATTTATCTTTTTTGTATTCTTTTTCCCATTTGCTTTGCCTTTAATTAAAGTTAAGGTAGTTTTGTACTTAAGTTTTGCTGCTTTTAATTTTTTTTCCAAGAATTCAATTTCCTTGCTTTCATTTCAAGATTTTTTCTGGATTTTTCTTTTTATGAAAAGCTTCAACCTGTCTCATGATTTTTTTCCAACTTTTTTTTTTTACAATAGGGAATGTGTTTTCTAAAACTATTTTTTTTAGCCACAGTCACCACTACATCTAATATTCTGATTCTTATGATCTAGATAAATTGCTCCACTGGATTGATCATTTGTTGTACTTTGTATCATTTTCTTGAAAATTTAACCCATTTCGAATGTATGGACATCAGTACTCAGGAATACAAGTGAAAATTTCCAGTTAGTTCCCCTGTACCATCTTTTGACATGTCTGTTAATGCTAAGTGATTTTCTACAGAACTTTCTGCACATCTTACAAAGGATTCAAAAAATATACTGTTGTGCGAAATGTACATATGCTAATCGTTAGCGTAATGATAATCTTCCACTCCAGTCAAACAAAATGAAACAGCCCTAAAAAACAGTTTCCATCCCTTTAATTTCAACACATTTGTCAGGTGCACCCATTTCTTGCTCATGGCAATTCCGTTATTGTTATCGATTCTATTTAATGTGGTATTCCAATAATCTTAAAAGGTGTACCTTTTTTTTAAATGAAAGTGGCAAAAACCTAACTTCACTCCTATCACAGCAAAAATTTCCCAACATCATTCAACTATGGGATGTCATACGCAAAATGTTTTGCTTTTTTAAAAGCCCCTTCAGAGTCTTCAATATGCTGTGTAATTTCTTTTTCCCCAAATTTTTAAAATCTTCATATAATTAAACCTTTTCACTGACAATAACACCATATTTCACATTAGTAATTCCCGAAAATCCCATTGATGTTGCTAATGACAAAATTGATTGTAAATTATAACAGAGTTATACAGTATTCTTGTACTCCTTCCATTTACACTATATATCCTAAAGGTGACCTCGAGTGTGAATCGAATGTAAATAAACCATCTATTGTTTTTCCAACCAAAAACGTATTTCCCATGAAACACACAAAACATCCACTTGTTTTTTCCAGAGAAATTTGCAATGCATCTGAAAGTGAATATGCATTAAAATCATCATAGTTTGGCTCTGTATCAGACAAATTTATCAGGCTAGATAAGGATCCATGTGCTTTGAATTCAAACATAGCATTAAAACATTCAAAAAACTGA